TTTTAAAAACAATAGAAAATATTAAATCAACAAAACATGAAACTGCAAAATTCTTTTAATGTTCACAAATAAGTGCCATAAGATGCCACCAGCACCAATATTAAAGACAAAATCAGTGTCACGGATGGACTGTATCTGTGGCTGGCAGTGGCAGGGAGACAGTTTCAGTGAGTGGAGGATGATGGAGCCACACTCTGACTGATCCCAGGTGGAATTCCCCAGGCAATGAGGGGGAGATAAAAACAATATGACAGCAGGCAGCCCAGCCCAAACACACACAGAGAGAATGCCCGAACTGAGCGAACCCACACAGTGTCAGTACAACACAACACACCACCAACAACACTGACACAGATCAGCAGGCACTAGAAGAGCAGGTTGTGGGATTGTGATGATGTCATCACTCACTGACACATTGCACATGTGTTGGATGGCCGGCCAGCCGGGTCACACTCACACAGACAGAAGACATCAGAGTCAGACATTACCTTCCTCATCATGCGCAGCTCCGCCTCCGCTGATGAATAGGAAAAGAAGGGCTGGAACTTCACAGTGATTAGCAGCCGCCAGCCGGCTTGCAGTATGGGACTGATTCTGAGAGGATGGGTAACTTCAGCAGGGATTGTGAGTTAAGCTGGCCATAGATGGATTGAAGATTGACTGGTTCAGCAGGGAACAGATGAATTTCGATTTATGTGTGGCCATTCTTGTTCATCAGATGTCAATCATTTGATCAACTTTTGTTAAACATGCTTGTTGTAAAAAATTTTCTTGATCAGCCAGCTGCAGCCAATGGCCACAGATGTAGATCAGTGTATTCTGACAGTGCAGAGTCCCTACTATCAAAATCCAATGGTCCAGAGGGGGAATTCCTCCATCCACCTTGCCCTTGTGGATGGAGGGATCCATTTGTTATCCCTCAGCTCACTGGCTCAATAATAAAAACAGATCCATCTATGGCCAGCTTTAGTTCATCTTTTCATGTTTTGTGGAAAGGTGAACCCTTCACTTACCGAGTATGCCGGGCTGTGCGGGGTGAGTGAAGCCATGGGGTGCTGGCGGAGGGCTTGTGAAGGAGGAGGAAGAAGAGGACGAGGTCAGGGTGGAGGGTCCCCCCCCCTGTTCTTTGTTGCAGCAGCTGCCAGAGATCCCAGTGGAGATGGGACACAGGCTCAGCTACCCCTTCTGGCACCAGATCCTGACACCATCTTGAGGAGCCACTACTGGACAGAGCTTGGAGGACTGGTGCTTCCCCACTCCTGTCACGCTGCCCCCCATCACGCTTCCCCCCCTTGTCACACAGCCTCTCTCCTGTCCTGCTGCCCCTCACCTGTCCTGCTAACCCCTTCGTGTCCCACTGCCCCCCGCCATGCTGCCCCCCCCGGCCTTAAGGGGTGGACCTTAAACAGGAAGGGGTGGGACAAATTTAGATGGGGGGGTGCCAGATTTTAGTCTTGCCTAGGGCAGCACCAAACCAAAGTAGACCACTGATCTGAATTGCAGGCTTTTTTTGGGGTGGAGGGGCAAGTACTGGTTTGTCAGTACCCACCCCTACAGTATTCCTAGCTGCTGACTTTAATTTCTAAAAAAAAAAAAAAGCTTAGGGAAGTTCCTCTGGTGCTATGACCACATCCCCAGCTTTCCTATTCCAGAGTGGCTTCTTTATCTTGCAGCAACCTATGGAGCCATCCATGCATGCAGGGACTAGAGTTGTGCCTCTCTACACTGTGTGCATCAATAGAAATACACAGACCCATAGCCTAAGGTTGCAAGGCACACCCCTGCTCCTCCCTCCCCTTCCCTCTCCATTCTCCAAGCTAACAAACAGACTGGAGACTGCACTGTCCACTGTCAAGTTTTTCCTGTGAAAGCCAGAAGTTCAGGGAAACAGCACTGAGAGAGCAGGAGCCAGCAGCATTAAAACTGCAAGTGCCAAGGTAAGAATTGTAACAGATTACTGGGGAATGTTTATTTTGTTGTGCTGAATGTGTCAGTGAATGGTCAAAAACGCTTTCTTATTTTTACTTCAGTCTGTGAACAAATAATTGTAGAGCCACTGTATTGTGAAATTGAACCAATCCCAATGTACTAAAAAAGTGTTTTTATTTTTGTGATTCCTTGTTAGTGAAATCTCCCCTCACTACCGGTCTCAGAAGATGACATTTCCCTAATGGGTATACAGCTATAGACATTTAATAAACACATACGTGTTAACATGCAATACTTTGCACATTGCGCTAAGATTAGGAAAAAATTGTTGCAGACAGTAGTCTGAAAAAGCACTGACCAGCTGGTATGTTAAAATGGCTGCCGGAGCTCCACGTTGCTCCGGCGGCGTGACGTCACGGCGCGGTGTGGCAGACTACTGTCTGCAACGATTTTTTCCTAATCTACCCAGATGTACCCTGATATATCTTTAATAATAAAAGCCTTCACAACATACTACACTATGGGCATGTTTTTGTCACCCCCTGGGGGAGTGTTCTAGCCCACAGATCCACTCTAAGGAAGGAATACCACCCACTACCCAGACTATCCGGAGGGACAGCATCCATCAGGTTTACACAGGGGGACCCCTTTGAGGAAGAGGACCACCTACCTCGGACCCCATAGAGCAGGGGTGGGCAAACTTTTTGACTTGAGGGCCGCAATGGGTTCATATATTGGACCCGGGGGCCGGACCAAGAGTAGATGAATGATGTGTATGTGTCATCCATAGTAAGTATAGTAATATTCCCCCATAGTAAGCATAGTAATTAATCCCCCATAGTAATTAATCCCCCATATAGTAATTCATCCCCATATAGTAATTCATCCCCCATAGTAATTCATCCCCCATATAGTAATTCATCCCCCATATAGTAATTCATCCCCCATATAGTAATTCGTCCCCCATATAGTAATTCGTCCCCCATATAGTAATTCGTCCCCCATAGTAATTCATCCCCCCTATAGTAATTCATCCCCCATAGTAATTCATCCCCCATATAGTAATTCATCCCCCATAGTAATTCATCCCCCACATAGTAATTCATCCCCCACATAGTAATTCATCCCCCATATTAATTCATCCCCCATATTAATTCATCCCCCATATAGTAATTCATCCCCCATAGTAATTCAACCCCCACATAGTAATTCATCCCCCACATAGTAATTCATCCCCCATATTAATTCATCCCCCATATTAATTCATCCCCCATATAGTAATTCATCCCCCATATAGTAAGTCCCCCATATAGTAATTCATTCCCCATATAGTAAGTCCCCCATATAGTAATTCATCCCCCATATAGTAAGTCCCCCATATAGTAATTCATTCCCCATATAGTAAGTCCTCCATATAGTAATTCATTCCCCATATAGTAAGTCCTCCATATAGTAATTAATTCCCCATATAGTAAGTCCCCCATATAGTAATTCATTCCCCATATAGTAAGTCCTCCATATAGTAATTCATTCCCCATATAGTAAAGTCCCCCATATAGTAAGTCCCCCATATAGTAATTCATCCCCCATATAGTAAGTCCCCCCCCCTGTGTCAATTCACTTACCTTTGGTCCGCGCGTTCCTCTCGTATTCCCGCGTCGTTCTGGTCTTCAGGGAGGACTGTGAGAGGAGTTCGTCACGCTGCCCCGCCTACATCCTGGCTGCCCCGCCTACATCCTGACAGCTGCAGAGTCCTGACGTCCGAGAGGAGGGAGGGGGGCGGCCATCCGAGAGGGGGGGCGGCCATCCGAGAAGAGAGGAGGGGAGAGGAGGAGAGGAGGGAGGGGAGAGGAGGAGAGGAGGGAGGGGAGCGGGCGCCCGGCACACAGGAGAGCCGCATCTAAATTTGTAAAGAGCCGCGGCTTGCCGACCACTGGCCTTGCGGGAGCCTAGCTCCGCGGGCCAGGTTAAAAGGTCCGCCGGGCCGTATACGGCCCGCGGGCCGTAGTTTGCCCATTGCTGCCATAGAGGGAGGACCACCTATTACCTAACATCAGGATAATCACACATAAGGCGCATTTAATATGCGCGTCCGGTAAGTGCGCATTTCATTACCACTACCACACGGATACCCAAGTCACCTCAATTTTTTATATTCATCTATATATTTGCTGGACTATTCCACAATTCTAGCATTAAGGACTTTTACTGTTCTCTTTTGTTCACCTGTTGTTTATAAGCGCTGCACTCTTTATATACATTGTCTTCTCCATAGGTCAATGGTACCGTTTTTCTGTGCATAGCAGCTTGTTGAATATCACTAATAATCACCAGAACTAATGTCTCCATTGGAAAATGTCCCCTCTATTACTCTTCTGGGTGACAACCCAAAATTTTGGGTTTTCTTTTACTTTCAGTTTCAATGATAATAGTAAACGAGACAAATAGAGAGGGTGACTCTCCCCCATGGGGGGTACAGACAACAATAAAAACCTAACAGGTGTTCTACTCCGTCTCCACTCTGTCCAAAACAAAAGCAAAAAAATGTTTGCCTTTAGTTATACTTTAACATAATCAGTACACCAGTATACAGTATATTCTACTTCAGTATAAAAAAGCATATTTTTTCTGCATTAAAAATCCTGCTGTTCGGCCATTTTAATTTTTTTTTCCCATAGTTCCACTTTAATGACTGATACTGGAACCCACCCTGACCATGGTCAGTTCAAACCAAAATTTAAAATGTCAAGACTAATGTCCAACAAATGTATACAATCAGTCCAACACAGGCCTGGCAAACCTTTTTCCATGTCTCCATGACAAAACACTAAGCAATTTATTTTGGACTTAAACTTAAAAGTCGATGACTCAACCTCTTTCTTATCTTTTCCAGATGTTTCATTGGCAGAGACTCCAGCCAAAGCAAGCAAGGGTTCATTTCGGAAAATACAATCAATAAGTTAAGGAATGTTAATTTTAATTTTATGTATATAAAACTGAATGTTAAATAAAACATGTAAATATTTTTCCTCCTAAATGAACAATCAAAATAGAGGGGGTTGGCCAGACACACAACAACTGGCAAAAAGGAAGTAAAAAGCGTCTTCCAACACGTCCCTTTTTCTAAACCACAAACCACTGTAACAGTAAAGGTAAAGCCCCAAATTCTCTGTGTACATTCTCCAGTTAGCTTTTTTTTGTCAGCCAAGTGGATATACCCACATGAAAGAAAAATATATATTTGAAATATATTTTTAAAATATTCTTCCCAACTATATTGCCATAGATTTGAAGTGCTGCAATTTTGGCCGTATTCAATATATTTCAATAAATATATATATATATTATACACACACACATACATATATATATATATATATATATATATATATATATATATATACTGCATGTTGAAATGCGTTTTTATTACAAAATATATGAAAAATATTTTTTAAAATACATTTCAAATATTTTGTATGTCTTTAAAAATACAAATCTACATTTTTGGAATGCATTTACAAATATATGTAAAATATATGTTAAAATTACTTTTTTATATGTTAACAAATCTGAAGAATATATTTAAAAAAAAATATTTTTAAAAAGAATATTTTTAAAATATACAGGTGAAACTCAAAAAAATAGAATATTGTGCAAAAGCTCATTTATTTCAGTAATGCAACTTAAAAGGTAAAACTAATATATGAGATAGACTCATTACATGCAGAGCAAGATAGTTCGAGCCGTGATTTGTCATAATTGTGATGATTATGGCTTACAGCTCATGAAAACCCCAAATCCACAATCTCAGAAAATTAGAATATTGTGAAAAGGTGCAATATTCTCGGCTCAAAGTGTCCCACTCTAATCAGCTAATTAAGCCATAACACCTGCAAAGGGTTCCTGAACCTTTAACCTCCCTGGCGGTATGATTATTTCAGATTTTTGGTGCTGAAAGCGGTACCATTATTTTAAATGGAAATATGTAGTTTTTTTATTGTAGGCCTGTAATTTAGGAACAACTTACTGAAATCTGTCCGAACAAGAGTCTAGTAAACATTCCGGATATGATAAAACTTGAAACACGAAATCATAAATTATAATTTAATAAATAATCATAAGAAATAACAATATAATATTAATAAATTTAATTTAATAATATAATCAAACCAAAAACACTGAAATTTGAAATATAGCGCCAAGTTCACACATCACTGAGCAAAGTTGCAAAATTTTCAGTGTCTGATGACGAATTTCACCACAAATCATTATCACTCAATCCTGCAAGTGGTTCTGATTTACTATCGCTGTTCTCTAGCCGGTCTAAAACGGCTTTTGACCTAAAAGGACGCTTTTTGGACGCCATGGACTTTTCTAAGTTTCCAGGCAGAAAGAACAGTCAAAATGCAGGCAGGGCACAGGACAAAGCAGTAGGGACAAAATGTATGTGAAATGCTTTGAAACAGCAATGTTTTGCTATGTAATATTCTTTACAAAAAAAATGACAGTTTTTAAAATTTTTAAATTTGCCGCCGCTTCCGGCCCCTGTACGCCCCGACGTCACAGGGACCGGAACACGGAAGCCGGATGCCGGCATCGACCGGAGGAGATGGCCGGGGATGCTGCAGGAAGGACATTGCAGGAGGGAAGGTCAAGGTAAGCGCTGCAGGGAATCCCTGAGCAGCGCCGCATGGTAAGCCCAAGTGTAGCTCGGGGATACCGCTTTTGGTACTGAAATTTCACCCCGAGCTACACTTGGGAATACCGCCAGGGAGGTTAAATGGTCTCTCAGTCTGGTTCAGTAGGAATCGTAATCATGGGAAAGACTGCTGGCCTGACAGTTGTGCAGAAGACCATCATTTACACCCTCCATAAGAAGGGAAAGCCTCAAAAGGTAATTGCAAATATAGATTTAACCGCTTGATTGTCAGGAACATGCTCACATACACAATAATCCTCCATTGCTAGTATAGTGTCTGAATGGATCAATATCTTTGATCAGATCAGCACTATACCAGCGTTCACATTAGTATAGTGTCCCCAAAAATGCAGCGTTAGCAGGATCAGCACCTGCCAGCACCTGCGTTTAGCCCCTACGCTTACGCCCCCCTTTAACTCCAGCAAGTGCAGTGTCAGTAGGTCCCTGTCGCTTGATACATTGCACACAAAACTGCAGTGTTTGCAGAATCAGGCCTGATCTCTGTTACCACTTGCTGGTAATTTTTTTTGTAGCTGTTAGTGTCCCGCAGCCACCAAGAATTCACACACAGTCCCATAGAGCCCCTAGTATCCTTCCAGATGTGCCTGCAAATCTCGATTGGCAGCCCACAAATTCTGCAGCACCCGTACTTCCCCCATTCACGGCCCAATCTGGAATTCAGATGGAAACAGCAAATTTAAATACTCCCCTTGATTTTTTGGAGTTGTTTTTCACGGAATATCTGTATGCGTTGATTGTGGATCAAAGCAATTTATATGCACAACAGTTTATCGCCGCCAACCCAAATTTAAACCTTGCCAGATCATACACATGGAAACCCATTACGATTTCCAAATTTAAAGGTTTTTTTGGCCTAACCCTCAAAATGGGCATTACTAAAAAAAACGAATTTTGTTTTTATTGGTCCACAGACCCGATTCACCATATGCCCGTGTTCTCTCCTGCCGTGGCCAGGCATAGATACGAGAGTATCATGTGTTTTATGCATTTCAATGACAACACACTCAGTCGTCCTCGGGGTGACTGTAAATTTGACCGGCTCCTCAAAATTCGGCTCCTCGTAAATCACCTTAACCAAAATTTTGCAGATGTCTATACTCCCCAGCAAAACATCTGTGTTGATGAGTCCCTCATTCATTTTTCTGGCTGCCTTGCATTCAAATCATTTCTCCTTAGCAAGTGTGCCAGATATGGGGTCAAGATGTATAAGACCTGTGAGAGGGCAACAGGCTATACATATACGTTTTGGATTTACGAGGGAAAAGATAGTCACGTGGAGCCCCTCGGATGCCCAGACTACATGGGGAGAAGTGGCAAGATAGTTTGGGACTTGGTGTCATCCTTTTACCATATGGGGTACCACTTACACATGGACAATTTTTATTCAAGCGTGCCACTATTTAGACATTTGTACAACCTTGGAATTGACACAAGTGGCACCATGTGATCTAATCGCTGGGGCTTCCCCCAACGGCTTGTAAACACCTGTCTTAGAAAAGGGGAAAAAGCCCGCTTGAGAAATGAGGATGTCATTCAGCTGGAGCACCGACTTGTTTATTCTTACAGCAACAGGGTCTTGCTCTCAGAATATACATAAGTCAGTGTGGGCAGCGCTGTTGGATGTGATTTTTCATCCACAGTTAAAAAAAGAGCATATAGGCTGAAGCTTGGGGGCCTGGGGTGGCCGGTGGGTGGAGAGCCTCTATGCTTCGGCATATAAAATTTTATAATATCTTTTGGCACATTAGAAGTGGGTGGATGCAGGGCGGTATAGTCTAACAGTGGGCATACCACACACTTCTTCTGGCAGAGATTTCTTCTCTGTTTTTCATTCAGGCCACTTAAAAAAAAAGAACATAGCATATACACCCAACAAGGACCAGCAACGTACTGGTACATCACTGGACTGGCACCATTAGACGTGGGTGGATGCAGGGCAGTATATTCCAACAGTGGGCATATCACACACTTTTTCTGGCAGAGATTTCTTCTCTTTTTTTCATTTAGCCCACATAAAAAAAAAGAACATAGCATATACACCCAAAAAGGACAGCAACGTACTGGTACATCACTGGACTTTGAGTGGTTATACCAGGATGATAAACCTAATAAATGCTGCGCTACATTCAAAAATTAAAGTGAATGTGGAATACAATGACATAAATCAATATATTGACAATAAAAACCATATAAATGCTGTGCTACATTCAAACTAATTAAAGTGAATGTGGAATAGAATAAAAAACAAAAAACAATAATAATAAATATAATAAAAAGGTGCTAAGTGATAACACAAAAACAATAACAAAACGCAAAACATAAATCAATACGCATGTGCATGAAAACACATACATATATAACATCACACGTGCACAATGTGAAGTGAAGTAATATCTAAATAATATACGCAAACTCAAAGTCCAATAATGAAATAATGAAATATTAAGTTATTATTCAATTATGAAGTCACTCCCATACAGATTGACTCAGCACATGGACACAGACAAAGAAACAGAGATTTCTTCAGAATAACAAAAGTGATATTTCATCTACAATTGAAGAAGAGCTGAGTGGGAATATTGTATCCTGAGAAGTGGTTCTGGAGTGCCTTGGTGCCTGGAGGATCTGTGAGAGGGATCCATACTGCTCTGTGACCCGCAAGGGTCGAAGAGTTGAGGTGAGAGGCTAATCCAGAAGGTGGTTGGATTCACAAGTTATCTACACCCAGATACCTGCACGGTTTTTTGTTTCACCTGTGGTCACCTTACAGTATATTGGAAACACAATTCTACCAAAATCATTAATTTTTTTCACCTTTAATATTCCAATATTGGACTTTTTTCACTTAATATTTCATTATTGGACTTTGAGTTTGCGTATATTATTTAGATATTACTTCACTTCACATTGTGCACGTGTGATGTTATATATGTATGTGTTTTCATGCACATGCGTATTGATTTATGTTTTGCGTTTTGTTATTGTTTTTGTGTTATCACTTAGCACCTTTTTATTATATTTATTATTATTGTTTTTTTTGTTTTTTATTCTATTCCACATTCACTTTAATTAGTTTGAATGTAGCACAGCATTTATATGGTTTTTATATTGTCAATATATTGATTTATGTCATTGTATTCCACATTCACTTTAATTTTTGAATGTAGCGCAGCATTTATTAGGTTTATATTCACTTGATCACTGGTATATGATTTAATGCTAGCAGCTGTTTGGGGTTCATTTATTTGTTAATTGTTTAAACACATTATTTTGAGCGCAGGAGGGTCACACCACTATACCAGGATGATGCCTGCAGCTGCAGGCATCATCCTGGTATCGTTTTTTTCATCTGGTGATCAGCTTTCATGTAAAAGCAATCCTAGTGGATAATTAGCTGCAGGATTGCTTTTACAAGCAGCGGGAGAAGATGCTCCCCCCCCCCCCCCCCCCCGCTGCCTTCTATGGCTTTCTCGGGCAATCCCGAGCCATCGGAGGAACCTGAGAATGCAGCCGTGTTTCTGCCAGCTGACCATAGAGCTGATTGGAGCCCAGAGTGGTGCCAATCATCTCTATAGTCTAAGAATTCGGAAGCTACAAGCATTTCATCACTTCAATTTCGCAAGATATAAACAGCGCCATTTGTAAATTGGGAAAGCATTTGATCTGTTGGGGAGATTAGATAATGTAAGGGCAAAGGAGATATCTAGAGTCTGATAGACCCCAGATATAAAAAAAAAAAAGAATATATGACAATGCCCATTGAAGTTATTGGGGATATTTGCATTCCCTATGATAGCATTAAAATTGATTAAAAAAAAAGAAAGGGACAGTGTAAAAATAGTTTTAAAAAATCAAAATAACTTAAAAAAAAAAAAAAAAGCACCCTCTTTCCCCCGCGCGCATGCTGACGTGCTGACTCTGTGCCAGTATGTAAACAGCAGTTGCCCCATGCAGGTGAGGTATCGCTACGAACGTCAGATCAAGGGAAGTAATTCTAGCACTAGACCTCCTCTGTAAATCTAAAATGGTGGCTTGTAAAGACTTTTAAAGCATTGCCTATGGATATTAAAAATGTATGCAGTTTGTTGGCATTACACAGGGCATGTGCAGTTTTAAAGCATGCAGAATGAAATGAAAATGAGAAGCGCACCAACCTTGCGCATTACCTCAGTAACCAAAATGTATTAATTGTAAAAAATATACTCACAAACAGCGAATTTCATTTCATCTTCATTTCATTCTGCAGTATTGATCGGGCTTCCCCAGCCTTGTTTTGGAGCCGCACAGCCCTTTATGCATTGGTGGACGATTTCTCCAGGCCTGGTTCCATCTATTCGCCACCTGTCTGAGTCCTAGAGCGCAGGAGAATTCGTCTTTGATTTACTGTGGTCAGTTTTAAAGCATGTTATGTTTGGTATCTATTTACTTGGCATACCATCATGTTTTATATTTTACCAAATAATTGGCCAACTATTGGAGATAAAATAGTTCAAAAGATCTTGGACCCCCTAAACCTATAAAAATGTTTGCAGAAAGAAAAGGTTTTTATTCCTGTAAGAAGTGTTCAGCCTGTAATATGGTCAAAAATTCTCCTCCAAGTCAAATGGGAGAGAGTTTGATATCTCTACCTTTTTGACCTGTGAGTCAACTCATGTGGTATATGGTCTTGAGTGCCCATGTGGTTTGATTTACATTGGGAGGACCAAACGACAACTCAAAGTTAGGGTACTTGAACATTTCAAGAATATTGTTAAGGGATATAAGTATCATAGTGTATCGTTACACTTTAAGAAGTATCATAATTGTGATCCAACTAACATTAAATTTTGGTCTATTGAATCTATACCTAGAGCCTGGAGAGGATTCAATAGAGTGAGAGAATTATCAAAATGTGAGACAAAATGGATTTACATGACTGAGGCTTTGGCTCCGAAGGGACTTAATGTTGAACTGGACTTAAATTGTTTTATTAGTGATTTATGATTTATTAATTTATTTAATGTATTAATTACATGTAATTGCATTATATTTGATTATTTAATTTAATTTATTGAATTTATTTTTAATTTAATTAATTGATTTAGTTGTGTTTATTATTTTGATATAATTATTATTACTTTAATTAGCATATTTATATTATTTATTCATTTATGTTAGGGCTATGTGATTACACTGAATTGTACTGACATGTAGTTGTGGAGCCTTAATATATTCATTAGTGGAATTGTTATATGTAATTTGTACACAAGATGGTGCTGTTATGATGATATGGTGTGGTGTTCCAATTAGTGGTGCAGTTCAGACCATTGACTCATCCCCCAGGTGTTTTTATAATCTGATCAATTGAAAAGGAGGCGGCTCTTTCAGAGTACGTTCCTCGTACTGTTTGCCACTCCCTCAGAAGAAGTCGTATGACAAAACGCGTTAGGGTGTGGCTAGCCGGTAACATCACTACGCACGCCAATCCACGGGTCTGGACCACGTGATCGCAACAACGCCATCTTGGTTGCAGGCAGGCTGGTGAGACGCCGGATAGAGAGCTCTGTGCTCCTGTGTAACAAAACGCTGGTTTATATATTACTCATTGTGAGTGCGGTTTTAAAAAAGGGGGGAATTGATTGGAATAAATGTTAAATGAAAATTTGCACTATGGCGAGTGTCTTTTCTACCTACATGTTTACTGTGGAGTGTTACGGGTATCCATAAGCTGAGACTCAGCGGTGGAGTGCTGGATATACACAGATATGCTGGTTTATCAACAGTTTTTGGTGAGTGTGCATTTTGATGGGGTGTTAAAACACTGGATATCACATTGGTGAAGGAAGATTCCATGACTTCATTGATTGAGGACCATATTTGAATATATATGGACTTTTGTGAATGGACTTCATGAGGATTTAATTTAATCAATTTTATAATATTTGTGCATCTACACAGTGGTGGATTAAATTTTATTAATTTCATTAATCAATTTATTTAAATTAATGTATTTAATTATTGGATTTTGGTATAAGGGTTGCACTATTTGGCTTGTGTAAATATCATTTAAGTGACAACTTTGTGTAAAAAAAAAAATGTTTTTGTCATTTTCCAAAAACTTGTTGGGGAAAAAATAAATCTTCCATGGACCCAATATGCCTCTCAGCAGACAGCACATTCTGAAAAGGGGTCATTTGGGGGTGTTTGTACTATCCTGGTATTTTAGCACCTAAAGAAATGTGATAGCCAGTCAGAAAGGTAAAGCTGTGTAAATTGCATTATCTACATCATAGTTTGTAGATGCTATAACTTTCACACAAAGCAATCAATATACACTTATTGGGATTTTTTTTACCAAAAACATGTAGCAAAATAAATTTTGGCCTAAATTTATGATGAAATTTGAGTTTTTTTTATATTTTTTATGACAGAAAGTAAAAAATATTGGGGTTTTTTTTATGACAGAAAGTAAAAAATATTGGGGTTTTTTTTTTTTTTGTTTATAGCGCAAAAAATAAAAAGTGCACAGGTGATCAAATACCACCAGAAGACAGCTTAATTTGTGTGAAAAAAGGATGTAAATTTTGTTTGGGTACAGCATTGCATGACCGTGCAATTACCAGTTGAAATAGTGCAGTGCCAAATAGCAATATATGAGGCCTGGTCAGGAAGAGGGGTAAATCATCAGGATGGCAAGTGGTTAAGCAAACATAAAAAGAAGGAAACACCAGACATTGTTTTATGAATATATTAGTAAGAGAAGCCTTATCACATAAGATGTTCAACAAATAATAATACAAAACATTCTGAAACAAAGATATTATCTGTAGAAAAATCATTAACGTATTTGTAAACTCTCACCTTGTAAAACAACCCATTCAGTTTAAAATAGAAATAAAAGGTGAAACATTTGTGAACAGTCATAAAAACAATGATAAATACCCTTTTATAAATTATCACTTTCCCTCTGTGTCAGCTGCATAAGAGCTTGGGGAGAAGAAACAGCATCACACTGATCTTCCAGTGAATGGCTATGTGGGGGAAGGGGGGGGGGGGGGGCATGTCAGCACAGGTCTGGTCATAGGATTAGCTCCGAGAACAACTAGGAAACTGACCATGCTGTGCTCTTCTGCCTAGTGTGGTCAGTTGTTAATAGGAAAGCAGAGTGACTGGCAGGAACACCAGGGATTTCACACAAAAGATACAATACAAAGAGGACAGGATACTTTTTCATACAAGTACATAGTACAGCAGGCCCATATCAAGAATAGGAAATGCTGAGCTTACATATTCTTTAGGGAAGCAAAACTAATACCCCTGTGCAGCCATAGAAATGGCTTGTGTTGCAGGAGCTACAGAATGTACAGTACTAGCCCAGGTAAAAGCTCATTTAAATCCCATACATTTACAATTTAAGGAGTTGCTTATCCACTCCTGTTACTAATTCCCTAAACCTGGCAAGCTGAAAATGAAACAAAGCATCTGCTGTAAATTAAATCTACTAGAAATATAACTACCTTTTATCCACACATTAAAGCAGTTTAAACCCAAAACCAAAAATGTAATATATTACAGCTTACCAATCATTAGATACTAAGAATTAGTTTTCTTTTTTTTTAGACTCTTTCCCCTCTGTTTTCACCAAGTGATCTGGCCATTAATGTCTTCTGCCTTAGAGTGCCTTCTCTCTGGATGAAGGAGCAGAGAGTGCACCTTTGCACAGCATCACTGTCAGTCAGGGTGGAGAGGAGTGTTACATGTACTACAAGATTTAGATGCACTAACAAATTAAAGCCAAACTCCAGCTAACAACTTATAAGCAGTTTTTGGGATAAAGGTTTTACATGAATAAATAAAACTGATCATTGTAAGCATCCCTGCTAGTGTTGAATAGTTTGTCTCATCCCTGTAAATGATACATGTGCAAGAGCATTTGTTCTTTTGAAAAACAACAGACATACTGACGGGGTCACCAGATGAAAATAGAAGAAAGAAAGCCTAAAAAAGAAGAGTTAATTCAGCCACCACATCTAAGAATTGGTATGCTGCAATAGTTAAAGTGTTACTAAACCCACAATAGTAAAATCAGCCTGTACATGCAGTAAAGCATGCTTGTTATACTCACTGTGGTACGCAATGGGTTAATCCTCTATATTGTGTAAAAAGGCAATTTGATCCTGTTTTCTCTGCCCTCCTCTTGTTCAGTTGTCCACCTGATAAGACAGACTGAACCCATGACCACATGCACATGCTCAGTTTGGTGTGTATTGCTAGAGAGGTTTTTTTTTTTTTTGTCTTGTGAGAGTGTAGGTGATCAGCACAAGGCCAATCAGCACTGTCCAAAAAGAGGTCAGGGGTTTTGCATCCTCCTAGAACAGAAATAAAACTCCTCCTACAAGCTTTAAACAGTGCTCTGCTGAAATCTTAAGATTGCTCTAACTGCTGATAAGAAAAGGTGTTTAGCAGTTTATATTTACTAAAATAATTGCATTTGCATGTGTACTGTGGTAGACCAGATATAGTGAATGCATGGTCCTGGGTTTAGTAACACTTTTAAGTAGTAGATATTTCAGAACCAAATACTGGAAGAGTGGAATTCTGCAATTAATAAACTGTGCACCCTATATTTCAATTGTACTACTATAGAAACAAGTTTCCACAAAACCCATTTTTTTTTGTAAACTCCTCACTGTTGTGATCTGGGTGCCATGGGCCATGGAAGTACTACTCTTGGGAAAAAGCTCAAATCTAAAAGCACCAGCAACATCAGTAGATAAACTGAATCTTTATCCAAAAGAAAATCTATCTGCCAGTTAGCAACTATTGATAAAGCTCATGGATGAAAAACACACTTTCTAAACAGAAGATAGGCAAATGTGAGCATGAGGCAAATATAAACCAGAACTGACTAAATAAAAACTACGGGGAAAACTATGACCCATCAGAATTACACAGAGGTGACAAAAGCCAAGAGACCATCAACAATTGCATCTCCTGGCATGTGCAGCACCAAAATCCTTGGCTTATAAATTTTGTCCAAAGGAAGTCTAATTTTATGAGTACCAAGTTGATGAAGAGGGGAAAACATATGCAATTATTTATCAAAAAGAAATGACCATTAAAAAAGAAACCCAGAGAATGAAACACTTTAGGAAGAATAGGCTAATTGCATATCAGCTTTAGTTAAAAACATTCCTTTCACCAGGGATCTAATTTGTTTCTAGAGCATCATCTAAGGATGAAAAATAAGAAACTGAACTTAGATCAGCGCCAATATCATCACTGAGTGAACAACCCATGGGGAAAGATAGATGGTGAATGACCTGGAAGGAACAATCTTCACAAGGCAAAAGGCCCAGAGGAGAAATTCTAAAATTGGTAAAAGTCAAATCGGAGAATAGACCTGCTGCGCTACCCAAAGAAAATTGTTATCTAAACCATGAATGAAACCTTAAAAAATTCTATGCATTAAGGTAAAAAAACTGTCCACTGTGCCCCCCCCCCCCCCCCCAAACATTTTCTTGATACCACTCTCAATCCAACACCATTGGCTCCTGTTGCTGTCAGTCAAATCCAGTAATGAGGGAGTGGCTGAACTGCATTTTGCATACAATGGATGCACACAGCCTTGCTCAGGATCAAGCCTTCATGAGTGCCCCCATAGCAAGCAGCTTATTAAGGGGGCACTTAGAGAATACAAGGAGCCTAGAGCACCTGCAGGGGACCTCAGAAGAAGAGGTTTTGGGCAACACTGTGAAATACTATCGTATAAAGTGGGCAAGTATAATATGTTTGTTATTTTAATTTAAAAAAATGAACTTTACAATCGCTTTAAATTATTAACCCAGAGAATGTAGACTAAAACCTAAAGAAACTAATTACGTAATTAGCAGGGCTACCATCCTGTTGTCTGGACAGATTAACAGTCAAGGCCTCAAGCCTTCGTCTTTGACCCCCCACCTTAAAAGAGATGAACTTCAAGTTTCTGACATTAAGTCTCATCATAGTAATACCAGGAACAGGGGCAGACTGACCATTTGGGAACTCGGGCACTGCCCGAGGGCCCGGGGTCAGTAGGGGGCCCCATGAGATGCCCCTGGTACCTTTCATAGGCTTTTTTGGGTGTGGTTTGAGTGTGGGCGAGGACACAGGGGCCCCATGATCCCCTATTGCCCGGGGGCAACATGAGTTGTCAGTCCGCCCCTGACCAGGAAACACAGAAAAGTTCTTATAGGCTTTCAAAATTCTATCAATATACTGTAAAGAGCCATTTTCTCTGGTAGTTTTTCAGCTAAACAACTTGCACGAATACAAAAGGCTTGAAGAAAATTGTTGCTGATAGGTCAACATCTATCGTCATCAGAACCAGGACTTTTTTTCCAGTGGGAATGTAGCAGTGCATAGCACTGGCACCTCCAGCACCAAATGTATGTACTGGAAAGGAGTGATTTGGTGAGCAGACAGCACCCCATCATATCTCTTAGCATCCCAAATAACAGTTGCTATAGAAGCTCCTACAATATATCCTACTAGGTTGTTGTCATTCACAAGCAGTGGGACTACTGAGTGCAGCTGGACCATGCATTTGTTGGCACTTATTTTATAGTTTTAGGCCAGCTCATTTAGTCCCTGGCGAAGTGCTAAGTCATTCTGGTGTCTTGACTCCTGGTACCCGTGTCCTTTCTGTAGCCCACTGCACTAAAAAAGTGTTACCATTTATTCACTTCCACTACCTGCATAGACTGACAGATTGGGTGGTCTTTTCCAGGGGATGGGGAGTGAAATTTACTGGGAGGTCCATTGATGCTCGTTGCAGGGACACATATTGCTGCTGGCTGCTGCAGGGTCTATCGATGCTGGCTGTTGGGAGATCTATTGTTGCTGGTGGGGGTCTATTATTGGTGGAGCGGATCTGTTTTTTCTGATGAGGGATATATTGTTGCTGAGAGGGTCTGTTTTTTGCTGAGAGGAGTATATTGTTGAAGGGGGGGCTTTTTTTGTGGGGGGACCTATTGTTTCTGGGGTAGCATACAGTTGCTGCAGGGGTATCTATTTTTGCTGGGGGATCTACTGGTACAGGTTGCAGGGAATCTATTTCCTTCCTTTCTTGTTATCATTAACACATTCCAAATTATTTACAAATTATTTAGCACTACAAAATGATACTTGGCTCTAAAAAGGCAGGTTGGTGGCAAAGACAAAGGAGATGTGTAAGGGGCAGCAGAGACAAGGGTGAATCTAGGGGGAAGGGGGGAAAGAGTACTTTCCCCTATTCTCCTATGAAAAAACCCTTGATCAGATGATCCACAGTATTCGGACAGATATTTCAACCATTGCTTTTTTAAGGCAGCATTTAGGTACATTTTGAGATTTACCAATAGAAGGAGGAACCAGAGGAATGACAGCTAAAATACATAAATTAGCTTATTCAGAGGTAGGGACCAAACAACAGCTGATTCCCTGTCAACAGATGATTGTGAAATCCCAGAAAAAAACATTTAAGAAAAAGATAAATCAACAGGTCCACCATCCTGGAAGCTTCCAAAGCATGATGAGTGGCAAAATTACCTTATTCTTCTGCAGTCAGCACTGGAATAGAAGCAGTGACATTTTCAACAGATTTAATCTGAATAAAATTAGTCAGGGGGGCCTGAAGGAGCCTGATATCTTGTCCAGAAAAGAGTGAGTGCAGGAGAAGAAATGTAGCGGTACCCCTGTAGGAACCACTAGAGAGATGCCCAGGGTTGTTTTCCCAGTAGTTGCTGTTGGTTATGTGTTATTGAAGACACTGGTAGTGATAGGAGAATTCAGGCTTTACTTGTGTGGCTTAAGTTACAAACATACAGAGCACATTTCACAGCAGACATGTTACAGACTGATTACTTCCTGAAGAGATGATAGAGAGAGAGAGGAACAAACAAGTTTTCAGATATACACTAGTAACCTTTTAGTGTATAGTGCCATCTACTGGTCAAGTGATATTAACACAGAATACTGTATATAGTACATTATAGTACATGCTGTTGCATTCCCAACACCCCTTCTCAACGGCATGTGCATAATTATATGACATTTAGTCTCTTTTGTAGAAAACAATAACGTTCCCTTGGCAAAGGTTTGGTGAGTGCGTCTGCAGTCATCTCCTCTGATGGGCAGTACTGGATGTCGATAACCCCTTGTTCTTGCATGTCTCTGATGATATCTTACATCAATGTGCTTGGTTCTTGGGTTAATCTTTTCAGAGTGTGTAAGCTTTATGCATCCCTGATTGTCTTCAAAGATGGGTGTGGGTTGTGACATATTCAGTCCCATGTCTAGTAGAAGTTGACGAATCCAAATGGCTTCTTGACATGCATGTGCTGCTGCTATGTATTCCGCTTCAGTTGAAGAGAGTGCAACAGTCACTTGTTTCCGACTAGACCAGCTTATGGTTCCTTGTCCATACTGGAAGATGTAACCACTTGTAGATTTGCGGTCAGTGGTGTCTCCAGCCCAATCGGCGTCCACATATCCAATCAGTTTTGGGTTTGACGATGCTGGAAATCGCAGCTTCATCCGATTTGTTCCCTTTAGGTATTGCATTACCCTCTTTACTGCATTCCAGTCGCGTTGACACGGCGTTGCGACTTTCCTGCAAAGTATTCCCACTGCTAGGGCGATGTCTGGTCTTGTCACGGTGGCGATGTATAGCAATTTTCCGATTGCCCTGCGGTAATAATCATTGTTAGGTAACAAGTTTTCTGTTCCATTGTTTTTTAGATAATCTGGTTCCATTGGTGTTTTTGCTTCCTTTGCATTTGCATGTAAAACTGTTCTAACATTTCTGTAATTTTCTGACTTTGGTTAAGAAGATAGCTTCCATCCTCTTCCCGCTCTATTTGAATTCCTAGGTAGTGAGTAATGTTCCCCAACTCTTTAATTTCAAAATTTTGTTTCAGTTTGTGAACTATTTGGTCATAGTCCCCTTCTTGTTCAAAACACGTCAAGATGTCATCGACGTATATTAGGATGTATGTCCATTTGTTCTCTTGATTCTTTGAATACAGACATGGATCTGCTTTACTTTTTGAGAACCCTTCTTTTCTGAGTATTTCGTTCACTTTTTCATTCCATGCTCTCGCCGCTTGCTTGAGCCCGTAGATGCTCTTTTGCAGTTTGCATACAAGGTTCTTTTCTTTCTCAAAGCCTGGTGGCTGTTCCATGTACAGATCCTCCTTGATGTCTCCATACAAAAAGGCAGTTTTGACATCTAGATGCTTTACTTGCATTCCCTTTCCGGCAGCAATACTAAGGAGTGTTCTTATAGTAGAATGTTTCACAACTGGAGCAAATGTCTCATCGTAATCTTCTCCAAATTTCTGGGAGTATCCCTTGGCAACTAATCTTGCTTTGTATCTATAGATGTTTCCTTCTGTATCATATTTCACTTTAAAAGTCCATTTGCTTCCGATGGTTTTGCGACCAGGAGGGAGTTCTGTTAGTGACCAAGTTTTATTTTCTTGAAGTGATTTTATTTCTTCTTCAGCTGCTTTTCTCCACTGATCGGCTTCCCTTCTCGGCAAAGTTTCTATGTCTTCCCAGGATGTTGGCTCCTGTGTTTGATGTGTTTTAGCAGCGTATGATAACCTGCGGGGTGGTATCCCTTTTGTCATTCGAGAGGATCTTCTGATTTCTTGTTGTTCAGTGGGTTCTATTGGATCGTTGATTGTAAGTTCCACTTCTTGTTCTGGCTCTTGTCCTGCTTCGCATAAATCAGTGTCTCTTGCCGATTCAGTGTGTAAATCCTCTCCACATTTTTCAAGAATTGTATTATCTGGTTCTTCACTTTCATCAAAATAAACACTGCGGCTTACTGTGACCTTGTTGGTCTTTGGACAAAGGATTCTATATCCCTTACTCTGCTCACTGTAGCCAACCAGAATGCCTTATATGGCTTTGTTCTCCAACTTGGAGCGTTTCTGACTTGGAATGTGGGCATATGCTTTACAGCCAAATACTCTGATGTGTCCTATGTTGAGTTTTGATCCATTCCACATTTCATATGGTGTACTCTCAATAGCTTTTGATGGGAGCCTGTTTTGTAGGTATGTTGCAGTCATCATTATTGCTTCTCCCCAGTATTTGTTAGGTAAGCCAGCGTCCATAATCATACATCTGGTCATTTCTACAAGAGTGCGAGTCTTTCTTTCCGCTACACCGTTTTGCTCAGGAGTGTGTGGTACGGTTGTTTGGTGTATAATACCTTGTTTCTTTAGGTATGATTCCATCTCTTTATTCATATATTCCCCTCCATTGTCAGTGCGTATTATTCCAGGTTTCCTTTGAAACTTGTTGCTTGTCATAGCTACAAAATCTTGAAGTTTTTCTAATGTCTCACTTTTGTGCTTCATTAGATACGTTATTGTGTGCCGGGAATAATCATCGATGAAAGTCAGTAAATATCTGTTCCCACCAGGTGTGATGGTTTTCATTGGTCCACACACATCACTGTGTATCAGTTCCATGGGTTTAATGGTTTTACTCTGACTGGTCTGTGGAAGAGGGGTTCGGGTGGCCTTTGCTTTGATGCAACACGTGCACTTGCTGAGTGTGTGGCAAGGCAATATTTTCATGTTTTCTGATAGACCTCTCTTTGCAAAGTCCTTTATAGCTTCTGGTTTTCGATGCCCCAATCTTCTATGCCACAGGTGGATGCACTTGTCATGTGGGTTATGAGTTGCCGCATTAGCCTTCTCACTTTCAGTGATGAGTTTGTACAGATGTTCATTTAATCTTCCTCTTGCTAGGATTTGCTTTCCATTTTGAATTGTGCATTCATTACCTCTGAACTGGACAGTGAGTCCATTGCTTGCAAGGGTTTTAACTGATAGGAGGCTTCCTTCTAGGCTTGGAACATATAGAACATTCTTTACAAGGATGCTCTGCTTGCCCCCTGATGGTGTTTTGCAGTTCAGAAATCCTTGACCTTTACCTTCTGCTGTAATACTTTTCCCATTTGCTAGGAAGACTTTATCTTTTACACTAAAATCAATTTCTGTGAAGAATGTCTCGTTGCTTGTCATGTGACTTGTTGCCCCTGAATCAATGTACCATCCATGTGAGGTACTATTCTGAGTCACTTTAAAAGTACCACTCCATGATGCACTTTCATTTTCTTTCATGACTGCTTTAGCTCTCTCTCTTGTG